AGAGACCCTATCTCAAAAATGCCCAACACAAAAAAAGAGCTGATGAAATAAATAAATAAATAAATAAGCTCTTTTGGGCTGGCAGAGTGGTTCAAGTGGTAAGAATGCCTGCGTAGCAAGCATGAGGCCCTAAGTTCAAACTCCAGTACCACAGAAAGAAAAAAAAAAAAAAAAGAAGGATCTAAAGAAGGAGAGTATTTTTGGATAAGAAAGGATTTTGTATGTAAATAAGGTTTTCCCTAAAAGTAAAGGATTACTCCAAAATGGAAGTACGCAGCTAAGGAAAAAAACAGCAAGTTAAAAAGCATATTGTAGAACGATTGTAGGATTTTTAGTGAGAAATAATTGATAAGAAACCCTAGGTCAGCTAGGCTCTGAGGCTCACACCTGTAATCCTAGTGATTTGGGAGGGTGTAATTGGGATGGAAGTTTGAGGCCAGCCCATGCAAAAACCCATCTCCAAAATAACCAGAAGAAAAATGGATTGCCTGCTTTGCAAGTGGGAAGTTCAAACCTCAGGCCCACCAAAAAAAAAAAAAAAGAAAAAAAAAAGAAACTCAATACTATCTTGATAAATTTATAAAAGGCTCTGTAAAAACTTCCCCTTAAGCTGGGTGCTGGTGGCTCATGCCTGTAATCCTAGCTACTCAGGAGGCAGAGATCAGGAGGATCATGGTTTGAAGCTAGCTTGGGCAAATGGTTTGTGAGACCCTATCTTGAAAAAAATCATCACAAAAAAGGGCTGGTGGAGTGGCTCAAGGTATAGGCCCTGAGTTCAAGTCCCAATACTGCAAACAAAAACAAAAAGAAACAAACAAACCCTATGAGATAGGTATTATTATTAGTAGTATTTTACATATGAGCGCATTGAAAGCCAGGGAGAAACAAACTCAAGGTTGAGGGGCAGTAAGTGGCACAGAAGGTGGGGCTATACCTTGTATATCTAAAGCAGAGTAAGGTCAGCATGCATTTAAATAGAGGAAATGAAGTGAGTGACAGCATATGAATGATGGGGACCAGCATATGTGGTATAAGTGATGAGGGGGTCTGTGGAGTGAGTCCTAAGGACTCTGTGTGATGACTTAGGAGCCAAGTGACTAAGTGATGGGGGTATGTGTAGTGTGTGTTGGAGACTCTGTGAGGTGTGGGATCTGGCACCTGTGGGGTAAATTGTGAAGTCAGTGGGGGTGAGTGGTGGGGAATATTATGGACTGAATTTTTTTCCCTTCTCTCAAAATTCTATGTTGAAGCTCAAACCTCCAAGGTGATTTTATTTGAGGTAGGGTCATTAAGGAAGAGGTGATTAAGGTTAAATGAGATTATAATGGTGAGGCACTAATCTAATAGTAGTAGTGTTTTTATGAAAAGAGGAAGAGACACAGAGGTGTGAACACACAGAGAAAAGACCAAGTGAGGATGCAGCAAGAAGGTAACCATCTATAAGCTAAGGAGACAGGCCTTAGGAAATACCAAACCTCTGACAGCTTGATCGTGGACCTTCTAGCTGCCAGAACTGTGAGAAAATGAATTTCTGCTAAGTCATCTGGTCTCTGGCATTTTATTACAGAAGCCTGGGGCATGATAAGGATCTGTGGGGTCAGTGATGAGGCCTCTGTGACATGTGATCAGACTATAAGCTGGGTGATGGGAATATGCTAGGGAGACTTGTGAATTAAGTGGTAGGCAGTCTGTGGGGTGAGTGATAGGGCTTTGAGGTGTGAGATGAGGTATCTGAGGTGTTGGTGATGGATGTCTCTGGGTTTGATGACAAGGTCAGTGGGGGTAAGTGATAGAGTTTTATAGGGTGATGGGTGAATCTATGGAATGAGTGAGTAGGGGCCAATAAGCTAAATGATGCGGGGGGGGGGGTTGTGAGGTGAATAGTATGTAGTCTGTGGAATAATATGAACATGCATGGTTAATGAGACCTGTGGGTGAGTGATGGACTTACATGTAAGTTGAGTGATAGGTTGTCAGTAGGGTTAACAATGGGGTTTGTAGAGGGTGAATGTGGGCCTAGGTAGTAGTGATGGAGGGATTTGTGGGCAAAGTAATCAGGGTATGTAATGGGGGGTTCTATGGGGAGTGATTGTACTGGGATTTGAACTCAGGGCCTTGTACTTGTTACACGGGCGCTATACCACTTGAGCCACTCTGCCAGTCTTTTCTCGTGTTGAGTATTTTTAAGATAGGATCTCGCAAACCATTTTCCTGGGCTGGCCTCGAACTGCAATCCTCCTAATTTCTGCCTCCTGAGAAGCTAGGATTACAGACGTGAGCTGCCAGCACCTGACTGGAGTCTATAGATTGAGTAATGGAAGATGTGTGAGATAAGTTTTAAGAAATGAATGGGGTGAGTGTAGAGGGGTGCTACAGTCTGAATTATATCCAAAAAGTTCATGTTGAAGCTTTAACCCCCCGTATCTCAGTATGTGAATATATTTGGAGATAGGGTCTTTAAAAGAGATGATTAAGTTAAAATGAGGCTGGCAGGTTGGGCTCTACTCCAATCTGATTAGTGTCCTTATAAGAAGAAATTAGGACACAGACATGGGTGTGCACAAAGGGAAGATCCCATGAGGACACAGGGAAAAAGTGGCCATCTACCAGCCAAGCAGCCAAGTCTCATGAGAAATCAAACCTGCTAACACCTTGGCCTTCAACTTACAGCCTCCAGAACTGTGAGAAAATACCACCCAGTTTGTGGTATTGAACAGACTAAGACAATTGCCTTGAAGAGATGGTTGGCAGAGGGCTGGCAGAGTTGCTCAAGTGGTAAAGCTACTGCCTTGCAAGCACGAGGCTCTAAGTTCAAAATCCAGTACCAGTATCTTAGAGAGAGAGAGAGAGAGAGAGAGAGAGATGACTGTTAGAAATACAAATGTTCAAGGTGCTTCTGGTGGTGAGGTCTCAGATGGAAATAAGGAACATGTTTGGAAACTGTAAGCAATGCAAAGAACTTGGTTGAATCTGTTCTAGTGTTTTGTAGAAAGAAGAACTTGTGACGAACTTAGACTTTTAGCTGAGATTTCTAGGAAAAACGTTGAAGATGTGGTCTGGTTTCTCTCTGCTATTTTAGAAAAACTCAATAAGGAACAGATAGATAATTGGAAAAGGAAGTGTTAGGTAGAAAGGAACAAGATTTAGAAAATTCTCAGTCCAAGCTGGAAATGGTGACACACATCTGTAAGCCTAGCACTCAGGAGGCTGAGGCAGGAGTATCACAAGTTTGAGACCAGCCTGAGCTAAACAGTGAGATCTTGCCTCAAAAAAACAAAAATAAAATTCTCATCCTATCCTATATTGCAAAAACCAAGAAAGTGTTCTAGAAAGAATACCAAAGGAGTGGTTGGACACTCATTCTGTAGAGATCCTGGATGTGCCATACTGACCTAATTAGCCATCTCAGCAGAAGACAGGAACAGAGGTGGGACAGTACCAGCAGAACCACTACCAGCTAGGACAAAGGAGGGGAGAGATAGGACAAAATGAAGGAAGGCTGTCAGACTTCTGTGATTCTATAGAATAGAGATCTTTGGCTGTGAACAGGCATTATCCTTCAAAAAGAGGGAAAAAAGGGAAGGGTGGTCCCAATGGTGGAGCTGTCTCAATTCTGGAGAGCAGGGCCATTTCCTTGGTTTCAATGGGTCAGGCCAAGCATCACTGTTGCCCCAGTGTGCCCAGGTGGGAACCCCCACCATACGGTGGGTCTGATGGACAAAGCATCCAGCCAAAAAGGATTACTTTCCAACCTTAAAATTGAAGGGAATTTGCCTGTGGAGTTTTGGACTTACTTGGGACCTGTGAGCCGTTTCTTCTTTCTAATTTCTCCATTTTATAATAGAAATAGCTATCTTATGCCTGTCACCACCAGTTCTTTTGTTTGTGTGTGTGTGTCTATGGTACTGGAGTTTGAACTCAGGGCCTTCACTTGAACCACTTCCCCAGCTCTATTTTTGTGATGGGGTTTTTCGAGATAGGGTTTCTTGAACTATTTGCCTGGCTGGCTTCAAACCACTATCCTCCTGATCTCTGCCTCCTAAGTAGCTAGGATTATAGGCGGGAGCCACCAGTGCCTGGCTTGTCACCACTTTTACGCAAGCAGAGAACTGATCTGGTTTTACAGGTTCGCAGCTGGAGAGGAAGTTTTTCCTAATGGAGACTCAAGTCTTACACATTTGATTTGCATGATATTTAGTGATCTGGGATTCAAAGTTCACTCGAGAGCTGGAGCTGTGGCTCAGCGGTAAGGTGCACTTCAAAAACAAAGTTAATTCTGGAATGAATGAAGCATTTGGGGCTACAGGGATGGGAGCAAAGGTAATTGGTATACAACAAAGACATGAATTTGGAGAGACCAGAGGGCAGATGTTATAGATTGAATTGCATCCTTCCCAAATTCATATGTTGAAGCCCGAACTCCTAGTACCTCAGAATGTGACTGTATTTGGAGACAGGGCTTTTAAAGGGGGTGATTAAATTAAAATGAAGCTAGTAGGGTGGTTCTTAATGCAATCTGATGCTTTAAGAGGAAATCTGGATATACAAACATATCAGGAACCTGAGTGCACAGAGTAAAGACAAAGAAAGAACACAGTGAGAAAGCAATCACTTGCAAACCAAAGAAAGAGGCCTCAGAAGAAACCAAACCTGCTGTCACCATGACTAGCTCCAGAGCTGAGAACTTCTATTTCTGTTGTCTAAGTCATCCAGTCTGGGGGATTTTGTTGTGGCAGCCAAGCTGACCAATACAAGGGGACGATGGGTTCAGTGACACAGTCTGTGGGGTGAGGGATTGGTCTTAAAGGTGGAGTTTGGATGGTGAGTTATGGGCTCTGTAGGGCAAATGATGGGAGTGTATGGGGTCAGCGCCTGGGGGTTAGTGAGGTCAGAGATGGGAGGTCTATGTTATTACAATGTTGGTCTGTGGATAAGTGAGTGATGAGTGGGGGGCCTATGAGGTTAGTCATAGGGCATCTTTGGGATTAGTAATTAAAGATCTCTCAGTGTTAAGAGTTAAGAGCTTTTATTTCCTGATTTTAAAAATTGTCACCATCATGGACCTTCTGATTTCTCTTCTATCTTTCTCCATGGCTCCTGGCAGTAGCTCCACATAGTTCCTATCTTTCCAGTCTCTGGCTCTTTTTGTGCTCACCCATTAGCCCAAGTGTGATAGAAGTTAGTTTTGCCCCTTCAACCTGTAGGAGCAAGCTTATACTTTGCTGGCGGGAGGACAGCACCTTGTCAGCCAGTGCTCCAGCCCAGCCCACTGCTCCTTAGTTCCGCTTGCTCTTGGCTTTTGTGACCTTGGTGTCCAACATGTTCTGGGCATGAGTGAGCTGCTTCACAGAATCAATCACAAGGATTCCAGGCACCACCAGCCATATGAAATTCATGAAGATGAAGTAAAACCAGAAATAGAGGGGGTGGCCCACCTCCCCATGCTGGAATCCATCACGGTGCTCTGTCAGGAAGTACAGCACATCCCCATAGATCTGGCCTGTGGGAGGAAGGAGGGGAAGGAGAAGCCTCTGTGAGGAAAAGGAGGCCTCAGGGTCTCAGAGCTCGGGATCCCAAACTCGAAGAGCTAAGAATTCTGAAATCAAACCTGAAAATCTGAGAAGTCAGAAAAGCGAGAATTCCAAAAATCAGAGTGTGGAAATTTTCTGAATTCAGGAGAATTCACAGCTCTAGAATTGAAGAAAGTTTAAAATCCTAGAATTCATGACAGATTAGAATTCCAGGACTGAACTCATATATCCAAAACTAAAGAAAACTTATAATTTAAGAACACAAGACTGAATCTTAGGTTGGTGGTGTGGCTCAACTGGTAGAGCACCTACCCAGCAAGCACAAAGTCCTAGGTTCAAATCCCAGTACCACCAAAAAGAAAACCAAAGGACTAAATCTCAGATAAGGGAGTTTAGAGTCCTAGTCCTGGAAGATCTAGGAGCTTCTTGCCAGCATGGGCCACCTCATGTAATCTTCATAGGAGATTCTGGGATTAGGGAAAAGGAGAAATGAGCCCTTCCTGCTGAAGAGGCAAGCTCAGAGAGGGACCCTGCTGTTCTAGAACTTCAGAGTTTGTCATTCCCTCTGACTTGCCCCTGGATGGACACGATTGAGAGAGCTCACCCACAGGGATGCATCTATGTCTGTGAATTCCACATGAACCCCTCTGGTGCCCAGCACAGAGGCTTCTCCTCACCTACAGAGATCACAAGCTGTAGAACAAAGCGGAGTGGTTGGTGGCGGAGAAAGGCGATCACCACCCACAGACTGAGTGGTCCCCACAAGCAAGCCGTGATGGTCTCCATACAGATGGTGAAGTTGTCATTTCTGTAAGAGAAAGGACAGAGAGACACTGGCATCACTGTGCTCTGCACACAGTGCTCCATTAGTGCTTCCTGACTCACCACTACCCCAAACCAGTGTGGGTCTCCACTGACAGAAGCAAACACTTACATGATATATCGGCTGTCTCCCTTGGCATACTCTTTCCCTGAAGGAAACAGAGAGGTACATGAAAAATAAAAGCAGGAAAAGGAACTCACTTTTTTTTTTCAGTACTGGGGTTTGAACTCAGGGTTTCAAGCTTGCTAGGTAGGTGCTCCACCACTTAAGCCATTCCGCCAGTCCCAAGGAACCCATATTTTTTGAGAGCTCCTGTGACAAGACAGACTTTATAACATCCCCATGCCTCAGTTTCCTCATCTGTGAAATGAAGTAGCAACTTGTATTCTAAAGGTTAAGATATATAAAAGAATGCTGAGCACTGGTGGCTCACGCCTATAATCCTAGCTACTCAGGGAGGCAGAGATCAGGAGGATCACGGTTCGAAGCCAACCAGGGCAAATAGTTTATAAGACCCTATCTCGAAAAAACCCATCACAAAAAAGGGCTGGTGGAGTGGCTCAAGGTGTAGGCTTTGAGTTCAAACCCCAGTACCACCAAAAAAGAAAAAAAAGATGCATGGATAGATAAAAGATGCATGGATAGCCAATGAGAGAGACAGACACAGACAGACTACACGCAGGTGAACAGATGACTAAATGAAATAGGGAGCAGAAAATAAGAAAAGACCACTTAGTCTAGGGGTGTAGCTCAGCGGTGGTGGAGCACTTACCTAGCATGTGAGGCCCTGGGTTCCATCCCAAGTGGAAGGAAAGAAGGGAAGGAAGAGGAAGAAAAGAAAGGAAAAAAGAGAGGAAGGAAGGAAAGAAAGAAGGCCCAATATAAAAACAGACAGGAGACTTGAATAGTTTCTTCACAAAGGAGGATTCCCAAACCACCAGTAAATGTATGCAAGGGGCTCAAACTTTCATTATTTATTAAGGAAAAACAAATTAAAACCATAACAAATTATCATTCACATTCACTAGAATGACTAAAATTTAGGAATCACGTAACCATACCAAGTGCAGTATGGAGGAATCAAAACTCTCCTGTTCTGTTGTGGGAATGTAACATGGTGCAACCATTTTTTTTTGGGGGGTGTGCAGTATTGGAGTTTGAACTCAAGCACCTCCATGCTTGCTAGGCAGGTGCTTTACCTCTTGAGCCATTCTGCCAGCCCTGTTTCATGTTGGGTATTTTTTTTTATAATAAAATATTTTATTTATTTATTTTTATTATTTTATTATTCATATGTGCATACAAGGCTTGGGTCATTTCTCCCCCCTGCTCCCACCCCCTCCCTTACCACCCACTCCGCCCTCTCCCTTTCCCCCCTACCCCCTCAATACCCAGCAGAAACTATTTTGTCCTTATTTCTAATTTTGTTGAAGAGAGAGTATAAGCAATAATAGGAAGGAAGAAGGGTTTTTGCTGGTTGAGACAAGGATAGTTACACAGGGAGTTGACTCACATTAATTTCCTGTGCGTGTGTGTTACCTTCTAGGTTAATTCTTTTTGATCTAACATTTTCTCTAGTTCCTGGTCCCCTTCTCCTATTGGCCTCAGTTGCTTTAAAGTATCTGCTTTAGTTTCTCTGCGTTGAGGGCAACAAATGCTAGCTAATTTTTTAGGTGTCTTACCTATCCTCACACCTCCCTGTGTGCTCTCGCTTTTATCTTGTGATCAAAGTCCAATCCCCTTGTTGTGTTTGCACTTGATCTAATGTCCGCATATGAGGGAGAACATACGATTTTTGGTCTTTTGGGCCAGGCTAACCTCACTCAGAATGATGTTCTCCAATTCCATCCTCATGTTGGGTATTTTCAAGATAGGGTCTTCAGAACAATTTGCCCAGGGTTGGCTTCAAACTGGGAGCTTCCTAATCTTTGTCTCCTGAGTAGCTAGGATTACAGGTGAAAGCCACCAGCACCCAGAGCCTTCACATGCTAGGCAAATGCTCTACCACTAAGCTACTCGCACAGCTTCTGGCAGTTTTTCCTACAATTATACATACATGCCATAAGACCCAGCTATTCTATTTCTACATATTTACCCAAGAAAAATGAAAGCAGAGGTCAACTCAAAGATATGCATTAGAATGTTCATGAGGCCAAGAGGAGCACTGTCAAGAATGCACAAGAGGCCAGCCCTGGCAAACAGTTCAAGAGACCCCATCTTGAAAATACCCAACCAAGAAAGGGCTGGTGGAGTGGCTAAGTGGTAGAGCGCCTGCCTAGCAAGCATGAGGCCCTGAGTCCAAACTGCAGTACCACCAAAAAAAGAAAAAAAAAAAAAACACCGAAGATTTGAGGGAAATGGTCTTCAATAACATACAAGTCAACTGAGTGCCTCGCTACTCAGGAAGCAGAGATCAGGAAGATCACAGTTTGAAGCCAGCCTGGGCAAACAGTTCGAGAGACCCTATCTCGAAAATTCACAACAAAAAAAAGGGCTGGTGGAGTGGTTCAAGATGTAGGCCCTGAGTTCAAACCCCAGTACCACAAAAAAAAGTACAAGTCAAATGGTTTTGTAACATCAATGCTCTGACAGCACTTTTTAAAAAAGAGAAGTGACATTAAAAGCAAAGTCTGGAAGTAAATATAGCACGTTATCATTTATGTAAAAAGGGAGAAATAAAAATAATAACAGTAAACCATTACATTGCATCTATTGCTTGCTACTGTCCTTTGAGACAGGGTCTCACTATGTAGCCCAGTAGCCCAGGCTGGCTTTGAACTAACAATCCTCCTGAACAGCCGTACGCCACTACATCTGGCAGGTTACTACTGTTCTAAGTGCCTTACACATATTTGGGTATTTCCTGTTTTTACAGTTGAGTGAACTGAGACTTATGTGTAAATAGTCTGGAAGGAAACAATCTTTTTGGTGCTGGGGATAGAACCCAGGGCCTTGTACATTGTAAGTATACACTCTTACCAATGAGCTACAGCCGCAGTCCCAGTAACAATTATTAACAGTAGTTAATAGATTTTGTGGAAACTTGGTGACTAGAAGGCAGATTTTCTCTATTTCTTTCCTTGGTTTGCTTTTTTTTTTTTTGCTGGTACTGGGGATTGAACTCAGGGCTTCACACTTGCTCTACCACTTGAGCCACACCCCCAGCCCCTGGTTTGCCTTTTGACCCAAGCAAACACATGTACAACAAAAAGTTACATAAAAATTTAAATAAATCAATGGAAGAACTGGTGGGTGGATAAACATCCAAGGCAATCCCTGCCCAGAAAATTCCCTCCCACAGCCCGAGAACTCAGGACTCACAGAGTTGGGATAAGAAGGATTGGTCTCCAAGAAGCACCTCATGGTAGAAACTGAACCAGCCCTCAATCACCATGTGAATGAATGCACATACGACAAACCAGCACAGGGACAGTCGCCGCCAGGTCCCCAGTGGGACAACCGAAGCACGACCGGACAACAGCCATGTAGTCATGACAAGGACCCCAGTGACGGAGAATAGGCCAACCAAGATATGCCAGGTGGGGCGGTCATTTGGCACAAAGTCATCCAGCCTCAGGTGCCGAGGCCAGTAGGGATGCAAGGGGCCTGTGTTGGTGGTCATGTCTTTATGGGCGGGTGGCTGCCTGTAGACAATAGGAGGAAAAAAAGGAACAGGAAAACCTGGGTGAATAGAAAGCACAGAGTGAGATGAAATAGTTTCTTACTAAAAGAAATATACATGGACATGTGCCAGTGGCTCATGCCTGTAATCCTAGCTACTAGGGAGGCAGAGATCAGGAGGATCGAGGTTTGAGGACTACTTAGGCAAATAGTTTGTAAGACCCTATCTCGAAAATACCCAACACAAAACAGGGCTGGTGGAGTAGCTCAAGTGGTACAGCACCTGCCTGGGGAGCGTGAGGCCCTGAGTTCAAACTACAGTACTGCCAAAAAAATTATTCTAATTGTAAAAATAAACAAAAATAGTCTAATTATGCGTGGTTTTAAGAACATGGCTAAAATATAAGGCCACAGAAAGACTGAGAGCTTGTTCCAGCCCCTCAGGGAAACTTAGTGACAGCAAACAGCCCTTGGCTCAGCCCTCAGGGGTCACAGTCTGGTGAGGGACACACAGGAACAGGCTTGGTCCCAGTTCTCATTGGTCACAGTCTGGTGAAAGTGCCAAGAACCAGGCCTGGTGTCAGCCCTCAGAGGTCACAATCTGGTGAGGGACACACGGGAATCAGCCCTGGTTGGTCACAGTCTGGTGGGGGAGTTACTGTCACCGGGTCAGGTCCTAGCACTCACTGTTTGGTAACAGGCACATGGATCGGGCCCACTGCCGGAGGGACAGTGTCTAGCACTGTTCAATGGGAAGCTAGTCCTTCCCCCCGCAGTCCTGGAAACCACACCTAGAGGACTGCAGACAGAAGATTTAGTGTCACAGTCCTCAGGCCCAGCGTTCTGAACACCAAAGCCTCCCAGCAACAGTACACGCCGCCGTCAACCTACCGGAAAACACAGGAAAGGCTAGGGTCTCCCAGGCGACAGCCGAACAGAGATCACCAAGCAGAACCAGAACCCTCCAGTCCAGCCGCTCAACTAGAGGGCGGGTCTGCGGTCGTCGGAACAACCGCTTGGGTGCCGAGGGGTCCCGCGCCCGCGCAAGGCGGGAAGGTGGGGGCTCTGGGAGGTTGGCTGGGGACTGGCCGTCAGGAGGGGCCCCCGGGCTAGGTGGAAGGAGTGGCGGGGCGCAGGGCACTCACCTGAGCCACGCGAATGCAATAGACTCTGGACTCTAGGCGGCCGCACTAACTCCCTAACATCCCAAATTCGAACCCATCCCCTTACGGGTCCCCCTCAGCCTAACGGATCCGGCCAATGGAGAGGGGGACGGTGTCTCCCAGCCAATAGAAGCTCTCCTTGTGCCGCAGTCCGGTCCTCACGCGAGGTACGGTTCTCCCTATTGGCAGACACCAAGTCAGGAGCCGGGGGAGGGAGGGAGGGGGAGGGATGGAGGCGGGGACCAGCCAAGTATTTTCAACCAGTAGCCAATCTACAGCGTTTCTCGGCTTCAATTTTCACAGGCCGGTTATCACAGCTGAGAATAAAGTGTGCACTCTGTTTTTGCTGCTGAACCATTGTGTAGTCCTCTCATCTCTGCCTTTGATTTCTAAGAAGCCAATAAGTTTTCAAACCAACCCACAATCTAACGCAAGGAAATTATTAGATATCAGGCAGATCATATCCTGCGCACTTCGACTTCCCGTCTGCGTTCAGAACTTCTCAGTCTTAACAGTAGCGATCATCTCCACCTCTCCCGACTTCAATTTAGACAAATCATAACCCAGGCCTCTCAGTCCTGCTTGGCCAATTAGCATGGAGACCTTCAACACTACAGAGCCAATTCTAAAGAGCCAACCAGAATAGCATAACGCCAAACCAATGGGCACCCAGAGCATTCAGTCAAAATCTTGACCCATTCCAAACCTCCCATCCAATTAGAACCCACACCCCCCAGTCCTAAGGACCAATGAACATCAAGTCTCGCGTGCCTTTCTGTCTGTGCCAGTCAGAGCAACCAATCCGAATAGGGATCGCTGTTTTCTGGCCAATTATCAGGCCTTCCGCACATCCGCTATGCAATCTGTTCCTGCCCCACTCAAATCAAGTAGAACCAGGACCCTGCCATTCTCAGGCTCATCAGCCAACCGTGAACAATCATAAATTAACCACGAACAATTTACTTCTTCATGGTTTCCAGTTTCCAAACCGTGCTGAGCCCCCTTCATTGCTCAATCTTATTCCCTCTGGGCAGTGAAGAAAGAGCCTATGGAATATTTCTACTTTTATTTGACAATAACAAACTGTATATAAAAAGGAAGAATGCAGGCGGGGAGGCCTGGATCTTCCCCTCTCTGCTTCCCCAAGTATCCCCCACCCCTAAGCCCCAGCAGGGACCACCCCTTCCCACCTGGTGGTGGGGTGGGGATGGACAGGCATGGAAATACTGTGTGTGTATGTGGTGTGTGTGTGTATGTGTGGAAGTCAAGGATGACAGGAGTCAAAGAGTAGAGAGGGTGTCTTCCCTCATCCCCCATCAGAGCTGGCACCCTGGGGAGTGGTCTTGAGGGGGGTGTGAGGGCTATTTGTTTCAGCCTATAAGACGGTAGAAGATCCAGCATCCAAAAGTGACCCAGTGACTGGCCCAGCTGAGCTCTGACCACTTGTGGACAGTATATGCCATGCCGTAACCCTGTAGGAGAGAAAGATGTGATGGTTCTGCTCAGCAAGGACAAAGAGAGTCAGGAGAAGCCATCATTTGCCCAAGGACATTTCTGTTATCCATGGTATCCCTAAGTGATAGAAGGGCTTGGGTGTGTGTGAAACCTGACCAGATGTGGTTTGTGGGTTTTTTTTTTTTTTTTTTGGTTAGAGTGGGGTTTGAACTCAGGGCTTCACACTTGCAAAGCAGGCACTCTACCGCTTGAGCCACACCTCCAGTCCATTTTGCTCTGGTTATTTTGGAGATGGGAGTCTTGACAACAATTTCCCTCACTTGGCTTCGAACCACAGTTCTCCCAATCTCAGCCTCGCAAGTAGCTAGGATTACAGATTTGTAATCTTCTAATATATAAAATGCTGCTAGAGCCAGGTGCTGGTGGCTCACACCTGTAATCCTAGCTATTTGGGAGGCTGAGATTCAGAAGATAGAGGTTTGAGGGCAGCCTAGGCAAATAGCTCAAGAGCCCCCATCTCCAAAATAATCAGAGCAAAATGGATAAGAGGTGTAGCTCAGGCAGTAGAGAGCCTGACTTTGTGAGTGCCTGCTTTACAAAGCCCTGAGTTCAAACCCCAGTCCCCCCAACACACACAAAAAAAACCCTGCTAGAAATCTTTTTTTTTTTCCTTTTGCGGTACTGGGGCTTGAACTCAGGGCCTTCACCTTGAGCCCACTCTACCAGCCCTTTTGCGATGGGTATTTTGCCAGGTCTGGCTTTGAACCGCGATCCTCCTTATCTCTGTCTCCTGAGTAGCTAGGATTATAGGCGTGAGCCACTGGCACTGAGCTAAAATCAAGTTTTTAAGACAAAAATTACCAAAGAAGGTGAGTAGGCCATTCTCAGTAAAGAAAAAACAAACGGCTCTTAAGCATATGAAAAAATGTTCAGCCTCACTCATAATTTTACTCCTATCTCACTGGCAAACATATCCAAGAAGTTTGAGAGGTGCTCTGTGTTGGTGGGGCAATAAGCATGTTCACACATTGCTGAGGGGGAAGCCCTCTGAGGAGAGGTCCTATAGATCTATCTGTACTGTGTGAGTCCACATTGGTACAAGGGCTTGGTGCAGAGTCATTCACAATAGGAAAAGACTGGAAATGACCCAAGTGTCCGCCAATAAGGAACAAATTAAAGTGTGTCACCCTCACAATGAAAAAAAAAATGAATAAGGACAACATATACCGATCTAGAAAAATTTCAAAAATCGCAGAACGGTGTCATTACAGTAATCCGAGCTATGTGACAGGTTGAAGCAGGAGTTTGAGGCCAGCGTGAGCAACATAACAAGACCCTATTTCAAAAAATCAAATGAAATAAAAGACTACACTTAAAAAGAAACCAAACCCAGCCAGGCACCAGTGGCTCATGCCTGTAATCCTACCTATTCAAGAGGCAGAGATCACAGGAGGCTCATGGACAAAGAGTTTGCAAGACCCTATCTCAAAAAAAACCCATCACAAGAAAGGACTGGTGGAGTGGCTCAAGGTATAGACCCTGAGTTCAATCTCCAGTACCACAAAAAAATTTTTGCACACTCAACCTTAATAAAAATTAGAAATTATTTTAATGTGTTGGTGGCTCACGCCTGTAATCCTAGCTATTTGGGAAGCTGAGAATCAGAAGATTACAGTTTGAGGGCAGCCTAGGCAAATAGTTCGAGAGACGCCCATCTCCAAAATAACCAGAGCAAAATGGGCTGGAGGTGTGACTCAAGCAGTAGAGCGCCTGCTTTGCAAGTGTGAAGCCCTGAGTTCGAACCCCAATCCCACAGAAAATAAAAATATTTTAATGAGGAAAAAAAAAGAAAGTTTTACTTTTATTTTACCCTTTTTTTTTGGTGGGATGGGGTTTGAAACTCAGGGACTCACACTTGCTAGACACATGCTCTACCACTTGAGCCACTTAGCAAGTCCAAAAGTTTTACTTTTGAAACATTTTTTTTTGGCAGTGCTGGAATCAAACCTAGGGCCTTGCACATGCTACCCAAGCACTCTGCCACTCTGGAACTCTACCACTTGAGCTACTCTGCTAGCCCCTTAAATATGTGAGATTTTTTTGAGATAGGGTCTCGCAAACTATTTGTCCAGTGCTGGCTTTGAACCTCAATCCTCCTGATCTCTGCCTCCTGAGTAGCTAGGATTACAGGTGTGAGCCTCCAGCACCTAGTTTAATTAAAAATTTAAAACCTAACTACTCAAGAGGCTGTAAGTCATTTAGTTTTCCTTTTTAATATAAAGTACCTTCTTGCTTCTCTTGTCCGTTTTTCTGTGTTGTGTTTCTTGCTGACTCATAGGGGTTATTTTACAGATTCCAGATAAGATACCTTTATCGCTCATGAGTACAGAGGATCATTTCCCTATCCGTGACTTGCTTTTCCACTGTTATATTTTTATTTATTTATTTAGTGCGGTACTGGGGTTTGAACTCAGGGCCTTCACCTTGAGCCACTCCACCAGCCCTGTTTTTGTGAAAGGTTTTTTAGAGATAGGGTCTCACAACTTATTTGCCAGGGCTGGCTTTGAACTTCGATCCTTCTGATCTTTGCCTCCTGAGTAGCTAGGATTATAGGCATGAGCCACCAATGCCTGGCCTTCTTAATTTTTTTCTTTTTTTGGCAGTACCAGAGTTTGAACTCAAGGCCTCATGCTTCTTGGGCAGGTGCTCAACCACTTGAGCCACTCTGCCAGCTCCATGCCTCAGCCTCCTAAATAGCTGGGACTATAGGTATGTACTACCATTCCTGGAAAATGTAAAATTTTAAAGAAGTAGAATCCAGAGTTTGTACGCTAAACCTGAATGAAGTATGTCTTTAAAAAGATTAAGTAAGACTTGACACTGGTGGCTCATGCCTGTAATCCTAGCTACTTAGGAGGCAGAGATCAGGAAGATCGCAGTTAAAATTCAGCTCAGGCAAATAGTTTACAAGACCCTATCTGCAAAATACCCAATACAAAAAAAAAAAAGGAAAGAGAGAAGGAGAAAGAGAGAGAATGAAAATTAAAGAAAATACTCAATACAAAAAAGGACTAGCAAGGGTTCAAGTGGTGGAGTGCCTGTCTAGCAAGCATGAGGCCCAGTACCACCACCACCACCAAAAAGAGTAAACCTGAGCTGAAGGTGTAGCCCTGGGTTTGATCCCCCGGCAGGGGGTGGGGAGGGGAGAGGAAAACCTGGATTTTATAATCCTCTCCAAAATTAATTTTATAGAGAAAAGAAAGGCACTAACAGTATGACTGAACTTGAGGGACACTGGGACAATGAGAGAGATGAGATGAGGGGTACTCACTACACAAGCTAAGACCTGTGACCAGAGGAGCTCATGGGTTGTCTCCCAGCCCAGGTCCTCATGTTCCCATGAACAGGAAGTGCCATTCTTGGTTCACCCCTGTAGTCCAGGGTCCCACCTCACCTGCTCCTCTGTGGTGTCATCCACGTCGACATCAAACAGGGAGCCCAGGTAGGCCAGGTGGAAGATGGCCAGGGCCCCAAAGAGCAGATTTAAGGCTCGCACCCCCAGGCCCTGTGGGAGACAGATGGATATGCTGGCAGATGATCCTGCTCACTGTCCCCCACCTCCACTTGTGCACGGAAGCCCAGGGGACTCACAAGCATCATGGGGCTCAGAATGAAGATACCCAGGGTACCCAAGTTGGGAAAGAGGTGGTTCAGGGAGCCTGTTATGGGAGCTCAGGGTTCTATTAACTAGGCTGGGGAGATGTGAACATTCAGATTCAGGCAGAGGAGCAAGAATGGTGGTGCTTTGAGGGTGGGGGCGTGGGGGTATGGTGACAAGTATGGGTGCTGGGTGGGAAACAAATGTTGAGATTGTCTTTTTTTTAATAGTAAACAAAATAAAAATAACAGCAACAAAACAAAAAGAAATCCCACCATGACCTAGAGGGCCCATAGCTTCCCCATTCTGCTCAAGCAACACTGGCTTCTTCACTCATCCCCTCACCTCCTTCACTTAAAGAACTCAAAAGTCATCTCCTCTGGAGGCTTCCCCACCTCCCTATTGACCCCTGCCACACTCCCATCCCCTCTCACAACTTGACAAACTGCTATTAGACTTGACTGACTTATTTTCACTTTACTGTCTGCTCCATTCAAATGTTTGTCTCTTGGGCCGGAGGTGTGACTCAAGCGGTAAAGCATATGCATAGCAAGTGAAAAGCCCTGAGTTCAAATCCTTGTACTGCCAAAAATAAATAAATGTTTTCCCCACAGGGCCAGAACTTTGGCTCGTTTTGTTCATCACTGTGTCACCAGCACCTAGAACCAGCAAGTGCTCAACAAAGGTTCAGTGGGGGGAACCAAATGCCAGGTGTATACAGCAGGTATTCAATAGATGTTTGTTAGAGAAACAGATGCAGGTGAACAGAGGCAAGGTTATGGGGATGGCTCAGGCACCAGAAGAGGAGGCTGGGCACCCTGAGAAGTGCCATTTTTGAGGGGGGTATTGGGCATCTGGTTGCCCAGGCTGAACCCTCACCAAGCGATGCCGGTGCGAGCAGTCTGGTGGACACCGTTTGGACAAGACACAGGCACTGAGGATCCGAGCCAGGCGCTTCCGGAGGACTGCAGCAGTGCGGGAGGTAAGGGGGTCAGGTTAACCTCAGGGGATGGTGACCCCAACCTCCCACAGTGAACCCTCCATCTGTCTGCTGGATCAGGCTCTGCACTCACCGTGTTCTACGTAAGTGATAAACGCCAGAGACAGCAGTACTGCAGCCAGGTGGAAGCTGAAGCCCTGGAGGCCCGGGGAGAAGGGAGGGGCAAGAGGTGAGTAGGGAGGAGGCCTTGCCACCGCAGCCCAGCTTTCCCCAGATCCAGCTCCACCATGCTCACGTGCAGGAGGGCACTGGCGGCATAGGTGACCAGCACAGCTGAGAAGGTCCCCAGGCGGAGAGCATTCTTGAAAACATCTGAAGGAAAAGAGATCCAGATGAAGATTATCTGGAAATTTCCCCTGCCCTTCCGGAGAGCCACAGGCAGGGTGAGGATATCCACAGTCTGTCAGGGCCCCCAAGGAAAAGTTCTTAGGATGGCCTCAAACTTCACACGCCCAAAACCTATTTTCAGATCTTCCCTCCCCAACTGCTCCTCCCAGTCTTCTCAAATTCAATCATATACCCTGTAGCTCCTCCGGCAAAAATCTCAGACTCACCCTTGATCTTCCCTCCCTCAATCCCTGTCCCAACTCTTGGCAAATCCTGTCAGTTTCTCCTACCAGATTTATCCAGAATCTGATCTCTCTCCTACCCACGTGCCCGTCTATCACTACTATCTCTGGCCTGGACTGCTACGGTGGCTTCTCTGCTGCTGCTGTTCCCCACCCCGTTCAGTCTATCCTCACAGAAGCCAGAGGGATCCTGTTACAACCCAAGTCACCCACGGCTATCCTATTCTCAGAGCCCTGCCCTGAGTAACTCCAGCTCACTCAGAGAAAAAGTAAGTCCTCTCTGTGCCCCACGAGGCCCTCTCTGACCTCACGTCCTACCACTGGACAACTTGCTCCCTCTGTGCCTACCCCAACAACCTTCTTTTTTTTCCAGTGCTAGCAATTAAACCTACCATCTTGCGGTCTTTCAGTGCCACTAAACACGTGCTCTACCACTGAGTCACATTCCCAGCCCCCTAATGACCTGCTGTTCCTTCCATCTGTCACCTTCCTCCCCTACATATTTGCATTCCTTGCTCCTTCACCTCCTTAGATCTCTTCTTAAACACCACATTCTCAGTGAGACTTGTCTGGGCTAATTTATTTAAAATTCAAATACTTCCCCTACTCCTACTACACTCCTAGATCACCTTTACCTGTTTTATTTTTTTTTTATCATAGCACTTATCACCACCTGAACTATTGTGTATTTTCTTTCTTATTTATTACCTGCTCTCCCCTCCTCCCAGTAAATGCCAGTTCCATCAGGTCAGGGATTTTTAATGATTTTTTTGCCCCTATTGTATCTTTGCACAGTAATTGCTCAGTAAATGTTTGCTGTATAAATGTGTGAGAGGGCCTGGGTTACCAACTCCTCTGGAATGGTGACTTGATGACTCACAGTTATTTAGCCAATAAGACATGGGCAGGTTCCAGCTTGTGACAACTTCCACCATTGAGCGGGGTAGCTCTACGTTCAGTGGTCTAGACACTGTCAGATCCCTGTGGGCAAAAGAGTCATGCAAATGCCGTTGGCAAAACCCATCTGGCTGCCACACTTTTGTCTTGGCTACTCCCTCCCGTGGGATCACCCTGTGGGAGAGGGAACCCCCACAATCCTTCCCCACCATTCTAGGTGGTCCTTCTCCTCGGTGAAGCCAGCCCCTGCCAATGTGGCCGTGGCCTCGGACAGAAAGCCCACGAAATAGTTGCTGAAGTGGAAAGATACAGCACTCTCATAGGCTCGCAGCCACCTAAAGACACAGGGACAAGGAGAGAGACATCATGCCTAGGCCCTGCCATGACACCCCACCATGTGTCAGCATCCCCAGCCCCGCTCTGTGGACTCACCTTACCATGGTGCCCCTAGGGCCCCTAGAGGTCAGGAAGGCAGCAGAGAAGAAAGAAAAGAGAGTCAGAGAGGCCCTGGAAGCCAACCTGAGCTCTTCATAGACAAGACAGAAGCATAGTGACTAAAGAGGCTGGCTGTGATAGTCACACACAGACACACACCGTTAGGCAGTTGGTTCATGTGGCTCAGATGTATGCATGAGTTGTCCTGTGATATGACTTAGCCCTGCACCTTAAAATGGCCACGCAGCCAGACACTAACGCTCGTAGACTCCCAGCCTCGGAGCTCTCTAACAAGACTCAGTGACCATAAGATAGTAAAAAAAATTCTAGTGAGACTCAAACAAACATACACGCACGCAGTCAGACATGGTCAAAACCAGAAAGCATCCTGCAGAGAAAAATGCATCGGTTCTGAAATTAGGCCCGGGGTTCACCCCTACGTGCTTAACTGGAGGACACTGGTCAAGTCACTTGTCTTTTAAAGACATACTCAGCATCAGACGTAACCACTGAGTAAAGTGACTGAGTAAAGGAGGGGGTCATACAATCACACAGCCAGATCCAATCCTGGGTCAAACCAGAAGCAGAGAGGCATAGGCTCATAGCTGGTCACACTCACTTAGGGAAATAATGGCAAACAGTCAGAGAAAGCAGACGCACAGGCAGGATGGATCACAGACAGGCACGCGGCACACTACAGGCAGATCAGAGTTACAGAAAAGCCAGAATCATCAGCCCAGGTTTACCCTATCTGATGCCCAATGATGGCCACATATGTCAGCGGTGCTGCCAGCCAGCAGGAATTCTCAGTCCCACATTCAGGGAATCGGTGGCCACAGGCAAACAATCATGCATACCTCTTGCCGAAGTCACAGACAGGTAGAGTCACCAACCAACACACTTGCCACGCCCCATTGGAGCCACATAACTTATTTCTGATGATGAAACAATGGAACAGGTAGACAGCCAGACACATAGTATGTGTCAGAGTGTCAGTCATACATGAAGTCACAGAGTCAATCTTGGTCAAACAGGCAGCCATAGACAGACACCCAGTCTCTATCTAGTCATGGAGTAGATGGTCAGATAGATTCAGACTTCTGGAACCAATTGGTCCAAAGGTCTGACCCCACCCCTGGTCAGCCCACTCGCCCTCACCACCTGCCCTCATTTACCTGGCTTTGCGTTTCTTGCTGTAGTAACAGAAGACAGACAGAAGCATTAAGAGACAGGCTCAAAGTTGGGGAGACCCCAGGCCCCTAACCCAACCCTCTCACTGCTGGGCAAGGGCCTGGAAGGTTGTGCTCACTTGCGAAGGAGGCGGTCACCGTCGAGGGGGATGAAGTAGGGGAAGAGGTAGGGGCCCACACAGGTGGACAGGACAAGGCACAGCAGGGCCAGCACCAGGCTCCGGCCACCTTCTGCAGCCACTGGCGGCTCTGTGGGGACCAAGTTTCCATAAGCATTGCCTCTCCCACAGTCCCTACTCACCTGTGCCCCCAGAACTCACCAGTGGACGGCCTTGGACAGCCTGTAGGTAGCTGTGGAAGGATATCCAGGGCCCAAAGACGATGGTGCCCACGAAGTAGAGGTAGCCCATGAACTCTACAGGCGAGGGTACTGCACCCACCTCGCCCCGGTCCAGGTCAAAGCCCAGAGACACTGCCTTCATGGCCACGATCATCTGGGCCCCTATGTGTGGGGCCCATGGTCAAGTAGATGGGCAAGAGAGCAGGTCAGCATGGAGGGACAGGGTGCACCAGGGAAGAGGTGAGTTGGAAAAGGGGGGTACAAGGATGGGTAGGTGGGCACAGGGTCAGACAGCCAGGTGGGCAAGTGGACCAGGACAGGTGGACACCTTTACTCAAGAGTGTCAAGTACATACATGAGATGGGACAGACAGACTGGCGGGAAAAACATGGTACAAAGAACCACAGACACAGGGGAAAGTGAGGCCTGCATTGTGGAGTGGTGGACAGGGGACAAAAGTGGGGGAGGGAAGAACCAAGGTGGGGGCAGTTAGGAGATGTGGAGGAGATAGGAGGACTGGGGCAGGGCTACCTACCTCGCATCTTGTGCCATGTCACAGTGTCTACCATGTGCATCTCACTGAGGAAAAAAGGTGCTGGTCTTAGCCTCATGACCCCCATGGCCTCAGAGACCACCGAGGGGGAGCTACCAAGGTGCCCAGAGGGTTATGCCTTCCCCTGCCCTGCACAACTCACAAAGGAAAAATTCTCCCAGGCTCCCTCCTCCAGGGAAGCCCGTGCCCAACCTGTCCTAAGCAGCCTCGTGAAAGGACAAGACTCCTGGGTCCCCTTGCCCTGGAATACTCCATATCCACCTTGTTTGGTGCCTCCTCATAGAACGATTTTCCCAGACTACCTTCTTTCTCCTGGGAATCTTACACCCTCCCTGTTTTGGACAACCTCATGAGGGGTCTAGGGACCCACCCGCCTTCTGCCAACAGGGTGAGGATGAGGACATATGTCCATACCCCATGAGTAGGTAGATAAGGATGGTGACGGAGAGGAAGACGCCTCGGTGGGAGGAGTGTCGGCAGAGGAACAGCACAAGGTAGCACAGGAGGCTGAGCAGTACCACCCAAACCATGTGCAGCTGGAAGAAGTGGTAGAGGCTGAAGAACCCGCCTGCCACGGTGCTTGCATGCTTCAGGTAGGACGGTAACCCTTCCGGTGCCAGGGAGAGAGGAGGAGAAGGAGAGAAAGAGGGAGGGAGGGAGGGAGAGAGAGAACAAGAAAGGGGAGGTTGGTGGGCTGGCGGGAAGGGGAGGAGGACTTGGGCAGAGGGCACAGCCTGGGCAAAGGTCTAGTTGTTGGAATGTGGCAGGACTGGAGGGGACCCAAAGCTGGTATTGAGGAACTGGTGAGGGTGTCAGGGCCAGGGTTTAAAGAAAAGAAACAGCTATTAAGGACATGAAGGAATTTAAAATATCAATTTATGTTGGTTAGTATTATCGTATCCAGATTAATTTTTTTTGCAGTATTGGGATTTGAACTCAGGGCCTACACCTTGAGCCACTCCACCAGCCCTTTTTTGTGTTAGGTATTTTTGAGATAGGGTCTCATGAACTATTTACCTGGGCTGGCTTGGAACCACAATCCTCCTGATCTCTGCCTCCTGAGTAGCTAGGATTATAGGCGTGAGGCACCGGCACCTGGCTCACCCCCTAAAAATTTTTATCTGAGCCAAGCGCCAGTGGCTCACGCCTGTAATCTTAGCTACTTAGGAGGCAAAGATCAGGAGGATGAGGTTCAAAGACAGCCCAGGGCAAATAGTTCCCGAGATCCTATCTTGAAAATATTCAACACACACACACACACATACACACACAAACCAGGGCCGGTAGAATGGCTCAAGTAGTAGAAAGCCTGCCTAGCAAGTGTGAGGCCCTGAGTTCAAATTCTAGTACCACACACACACACAAATTTAGGGGGTGATGTTTGAGGCTGTGGTTGTGGCGGAGGGATGTCCTTGTTCCTGGGGGCCATACACTGAAGAATTTGGGGTAAAGTGTCATGATACCAGCAGGTTATTCAAATGATTCAGGAAGGCAAAAGATGGATGATGAATGGATAGATAAGTAGATAGAAAGATAGGTAGAGTAAGCGAATGTGACAAAATGTTAATGCCTTGGAGAATCTGATGACAGATATATGGGTGCTCACTTTTCAGTAGCTTTCAAATAGGTCAAAATGATAACCCTGGGAAAAAAAATAAAACATCCATTGAAAAGAAAAAGAGAAAAAGAAAGAGTAGAACCTTTGAATCTTAGATTTTTCTGAAATCTCTGCATCCTATGGGAGCCCTGGGGACTTGGAACCTTATCATTTGAATACAGGCTTGTTATGATTGTGGAAACATTCCAGAGTCCTAGAATCCAGATATCTCATTGTGTCCCGATTATAGAAATCCAGAATGCCAACATTTTGGAAACCTATAATGTGAGAATTTCAACTTGTCCAAATCCCAAAGCCTATTACCATGGTATTTTTGGTAACATCAGCATTTGTTATCTGGTAACATCAGCATTCCAGGATCTGATAACCTTGGAATACAGACATTTGAGGACCTTGGTTTTCCAGATCCCGGAACCCAGGAATACTAAAAGGCATGGCTTGTATGACAGGATGTGGCTTGCAGACTGTGGCATGAGGCTGGCACAGTAGGATGTGGTGCTGGTGGAATGGGACATGGTCTGGTGGGATGTTGTGGGCTGAGCTTGTTGAGGCCTGGCTTGGTATGGAAGGATGTGGCAAGGTAAGGTGTGGCTTGGTATGAATGAACGTGGCAGATATGGTAACTTCTGATGTGGTGCACACAGTGCAGACACTTACCAAGCCTCCAGAGGAGACGGCAGGCGAGGCAGAGGGCAAGGAGCAGCCAGATCTGGTCAAGGCCCTGCTGGACGGTAGGCAGGAGACAGCCCTGCAGTAGCTGCTGGAAAAATTCCTGGCGGCTGAAGGTGGCCATTGTGGACCCCCACGGATGGATGGACAGATGGCTAGATCTGCCAGAGAGGGGACAGACAGAGAGGGAGCAGGATGTCCGTGGGGCAGCTTGTGCTTAAGGCTTGGACTTGAGCACTGAAGATTTCAGCTTGGGGCTGCTGAACCCACAGCTGGTACTGGGGGCTTGGGGAAGATGTGATGGTCTGTGGGTGTTGGTGGGTGTTCTGGATGCACTGTGACCTGCGGTGAATGAAGGACCTCTGTGTCTTGAATGCTGTGAACCGTCCAGTCCGATGATGATCAAATGATGTGCATTCTAGGCCCATGTATTAAATGGGACAGGGGAAGGGGGCTCCTTGGTTCCCAAGGTAGAGCTGCTCTGTGTGGAGGGCAAAGAGGGGGATTCTGTGACACTTAGGGGCCGTGTGCATCTCTCCATGTATGGATGTGGTGGGGGGTGGTTTCCTGTATCCTCCGCTCGACCCATCTCACCTCCATCCAGCGAAAGGCCGCCAACAAAGCCCTTGCCTGGGTCCCGGAACTGCAGGGTGGGTGGAGGTGTTGGCAGGGGACACAACAAAAAAAGGGAGTCAGAAAGGTGATGAGGTCTGGGTCCCAGGACACGAGCTACAGATCCTCGCCAGGAGGCGGTTCAAGGATGGAGCCAGGGAGCCGCGCGCATACTACTGAGACCTACCTGGGAGGAAGGAATCCGGGGTTCTGGGGTCGGGGACGTGCCGCCGCGTGCTACAGTCGCCCGCCTCCTCCGGGCAGCCTTCCCCAGCAGGCCGCAAGGCCGGGACCAGCAAGCGGCTCCCGGGGGCTGCGCGGCGGAGCGGGCCCTTTAAATCCCGGGGCGGGCCAGGGGCTGTGCGCGGCCAATCGGAGGGCGGGAGTGGGGCGGGGACCGGGAGGAGGGAGCCCGGGGACCGAGGAAGGAGGAGCGGCATGGTCGAGGGGCGCGGGCTAGCGAGGACGTCTGCGCGCCGAGGTTCGCGCGCACTTTTCCGGCCTGTTGCCTGCCATTCTAGCCCTGGAACGCTCGCGGCGGGAGATTTTCTGATCTCCCAAGAGCAAAGTTCCTAATAGCCATTTTCCAGTCCTTGGGAGCTGAGATGGGAGAGATAGAGGGGGAGGAGGGCAATCCTGTGTGCCCTAGATGCTCGCCCGCTCACGTCCTCTCCACATTGTTGTGCCCGGTGTCCCAGATGGGAAAAGCCGAGGTCTCACCTTTCCTGTCTTTCTCATCTGAAGGATTTCCAGTCCCTTTCCCAGCCCCCGGGACCGCCGGGAACGTTTATAGTAATGACTGTGTCACTTAGGAGCACATTACTAGGCGCCTGTGATCCCCTAAGGGCTAGCCGTGGGCACTTGGCTTATCCGTTGACTGTTTCCTCCGCTTAATTCCTCACCGGACTCAACCCTGAAAAGAAGGGATCCAGCCACTAGTAAGTCCCTTGCGAACTAGAAGGGAGGCTAGGAAGCAAGTGCGGAGCACGTAGAAAGACAGCATTTATAAAGCACAGTGGCCCCAAAAACGGCAGCTGTAGAGAGTGGCCTCTATCTGCACCAACACTGCTGTCTACCTAGGCTGATTAAGACCTCCTCCCTCCCACCCAAAGAAGGGCCTACTTTCCCAAGGAGCATTGCGAGCTGTGGAGTGGCTCAAGCTGTTAAAGCGTCTGCCTAACAGCTCAAGGCCCTGAGTTCAAAACTCCGGTACTGCCAAAAGAAAAAAAAAAAGTACTAACAAAACAAAACAACAAAAAAAAAAAAGAGAGGGAGAGGAGCATTTGTTGGGCACTAGGGTACTCAGCTCCCACGTGAGGGAGACACAAGCTGGACCCCCATGCTGACCCCCTGGAGCTAAGGAAAAATTCCTGCTGGTAAACCACTAACGGTGATGGAAAGTTTTTTCATTCTCTCTCTGTGTTAGGGCCTGGGATCCAGGACCTTGTCATGAATAGTGACCCCCAGCCCTCCTATTCCTTTCCTTTCTCTCCCTGGTGGGGATACTGGGGCTGAACTCCAGGACCTACACCTGGAGCCACTCCACCAGCCCTTTTTGTGTTGGGTATTTTCCACATAGGGGCTCTCGAGAACTATTTCCCCTGGCTGGTTTCAAACTGCCATCCTCCTGATCTCTGTCTCCTAAGTAGCTAGGATTGCAGGCATGAGCCACCAGCACCCAGCCTTCCTTTCTCTTTAAAATAAATTTTAACATGAATTAAATGGAGTCATATATACCACCCAGTGCCCAGCTCCAGTCCTTTTCTTAACAGTAGAATTACAGACCATAAATTGTATGAATTAGACTTCATTTTAATTTTTTCTCAGTTGTTCAAACATACTCAAGGACAATCCACAATGATCCCCCACCCCGGCCAGAAATATTTCCTAATTGCCTAGCTGCAGGACCGGCCTTTAAAACTGGAAGATTCTCACTATGTGTGGCCCTGAGTGTCAGGCCTTGATTACTTGCATCTAGGCTTTTATGTGTTCCTACATCTCTAGGACATAGAAAGGACATGTACAAATCAATAAGAGCAGGATAAACAATACACTAGCTGGAGGAGTGGCTCAAGTGGTAGAGCGCCTGGTCTAGTAAGCATGAGGCCCTGAAGTCCAAACCCCAGTTATCACCACAAAAAAAAAAAAGTTCTAAAATTGAGTTTTGGCTGGAGGCATGACTCAAGCCGTAGAGCGCTTGCCTTACAACTCAAAGCCTTAAATTCAAATTCCAGTTCCACCAAACCTCCCCCCACCCCCCGCCAAAAATCCAGTATGTTACACAATGGAGAGTGGATATAAATAGATAATCACAGCAGAAGTCACCTGAAATGGCCAATTATGTATAATACTATTTTGAAAAGATAACCCAATCTCTTTAGTTATCCGGTATATGTGCAAAATAAAAAAGAACAGGAATATCTCAACAGATACCATTTCACATCTAGATGTGATCCTCCCTGCCCCCCACAGTACTGGGGATGGAAC